ATCATGTAGATTTGTGCCAAATTTTATCGGAGTTCAGCCGTTTAGGCTACAAACTCTAACAAACATCCATCCATCTAAACTTTCGCATTTATAATATTATATTATATTACTAGTTGATCCCGTGCGGCTTCATCCGCATGAAATCATGAGAATTTTATTTTATTGTTTACATTTGTCAAATTATCAATAGCAAATGTCAAAATTACATAATATGACAAACCTTGGCAATCTTACTTTCTTGATGTTGGCAGCAACTTATGGTCTCTTTCCCACATTACGGTTTTTATCCAAAATATTTACCCCCTAAGTTTAATAGCTTGAAAATATATAGCGTAAAGAGTGACGTAAGTGTAGGGCTTTTTATTAAAGAAAGAATTTTTCAAAAATATGCTGTAATTGCATCTTAGGCAACAAAGAAGTGTGTGTTTTGGCTTTATTATAATAGATTAAGTATGATTGTTGTTTGTTCTAAAACTCATACTAATAAAAAAATGTAAGGGAGGTAATAACAACAGAGTAATTAACACTTGAATTTTCTATAAATTGAGTTAAAAAAACTATTGTATTACGGTTTAATTAGCGTATCCGTGCAATTGTAAAAGTTAATTAAAAATAATTAGAACCGGTTAAGGGTTGTTTACGTTTCTCATATTTATTATTTATCGATATCTCGTTATAGTAGACATGTATTAAAATGTAGAAAATGAGTAAATAAACACAACACTCACCCTCGTAACTAAGAGGGGTTCGCAGGGATAGATTTGCATTTAGTCTGCAAGAACATGTATTACATTTTGTAAACTAAACCTGGTAATCAGTAATACCTTAGTTACTGAGTTTAAAAAATCATAAGTTATACTAAGAGCGGGCGCACACCTTTTACTAAACTATCGCACAACTGTTTTTCGATTGTCTATTGTTTCGCAGCCAATTCAACTGTTTAGTTGCACAACTAAAAATCAAGTAGTGTGCGCACCTCCATATAAGCTCATAAGAAAGCGATAGTATACAGTTGTGCGATAATTTAGTCAAAGGTGTGCGCGCGTTCTTATAAACTTTGTTATTACTTCTTATTTCGTATCAATACATATCCAATTATTTTTCAAATACATTTTATAAGCATGAAGTTGTACGGTGTTATGAATATACCTCGACTGTTGGAATCACAACACTTTATCGAAATTGCAAAGTCGTAACATCACGTCAGAATGGATTCTGTCTAATCTAATACAACTAGCTTAGGGTAGCAATGCCTTTAGATGATACAGGACAATTCCTGGATTAATATTCACGTATACGGAAGACATAACTGATAGAAAATAGTAATAGTAGCAGTTTGTTTAATTAATCGGAGTGTATACATGTTATGTGGACAAGTGTTTCCAAGGTTATTTAGTGAAATTCCTTAGCATGATTTCTTAGGCAGTTATAAAAGTCGAAACGTGCGGATTCGGTGCCATATTTATAATGTACAAAATGAATGAAGCGCGCGTAGATAAGAGGTAGATAGTTTCTTTTAGATAAGTTTAGTTGTCCGTATTTTTCGTGTTTATTTTTGGTAACCATATCATGCAAGTGGAGCGACATGGTAACTTCCAAGGAGAATTTCGCTGGGGGGCGCGCGCGTCATAAAATTTTACGAGCGGTTTCCATAGCAACGCCGCCATTACGCCACGTAGTGCACGAATCCGCCGCGAGGGGCGCCCGCGTGCTTAATTCCTTTTTATTGCCTAAAGTAATCGATCTTGGCCAGTTTTGAATTCATATAAGTCTTTTTATGGTGTTAATTTATTTAACTTTATAACCGTCATTTAATTCACTTAGTTGTAAAATTAAAACCTCACATAAAAAATTAAAGGGCCTGTTCCACCACTAGCTGATGGAGGCTCAGATAGCTTAAATTTGACGTCACTGTTAGATAAGGGAACTAAAATCCGATATTTTACATTACACGTTGGATTGTTATCAGATAATTTACAATTCGGTGTGACGGGCCCTAAAACTCGATTTTACGACAAGAAAGTATTCCATTTCATGAATTAAATACTCAAACTTATAATAACCACTTCGCTCTATGTTAAAATAATACAAATGTCATTGACTTGACAACCTAAAACTCTAGGTATTCACTACTGCAAGTCTTGCACTTAATATATTGTCATCCCTCTTCTCTACTTTGTAAGAACTGAGAACAATGATTTCATGTTTTTGCAGTGTAAGCTGACGGTAAAATAACTAATTATAAAAGCACAACTGTTGGGCGATTGTCGTTTGTTTAACAACCAAACTGTTTAGTTGCAAAAATAAAAACAAGTCATACGACTTGTTTACCTCCTCCTGTCCACCTCCATATTAGTTCATAGGAATCAAAGTGCAATAAACAGTTGTGCGATAGTTTAGTTTCCGATGTACGCACTATCTAAAGGTAAAATTCAAAGGCGCAATTGTTATGTATACCCATTTTATCCATAATGTCCGATATATTTACAAATATCATTAGAAGTGCTTACATCATACTTAGCTGTTTGCACCCGTGATAAGAATTTATGGCACTTCCAGTTTGTTTAGGACGCATTATCTGTGTTACAGATTATACCGACTAGAAGTGTCATGTTTGTGTTATAAATTATTTTTTTATTCAGTTAGTAGGATGTTCACTTAATTGTAGATGAAAAACCTAGATTAAGTTTTAGTAAATTATTATTTGCCTTTGAAGTATATATTTAAAAAAAGAAACCATTCAGTACAAAGGACTTACAGATTTGCAAGAAGCGAGCGTACTTCTTAAAGACCGGAAACGCATCTGCATTTCCTGTAATACACATAGAGACATGACATATGCATATGTCTATGGTCATCTAGTGTTTCCGTCGCTTTTGCCTTTAATATAAAGAAACTTATACATTAGAATAACCAGTTTGACTATGTGTAAACTATGGTTTTCACTTTTTAAGTCTCAATTTTTATTCATCAAGAAAACTGTTGTGCGATTGTCGATTGTTTCGCAGCTAATTCAACTGTTTAGTTGCAGAATTAAAGATCGAGTAGTGTGCGCACCTCCATATAAGCTCATAGGAGTCAAAGCGAGCGAGGGAGTGAGGAGAGTTGTGCGATAATTTAGTATTAGGTATGCACAAGCTCTTGTTATCGCTATCCCTGTCTAAGGCTACACTAATAAATATGGTATTCATTCATACAGTGGTAGAGCCCGCTTTAACATCTTCGCGCGAATGGGCCGGCTCGCCCGGTGCAATACCACGACCACACAGAAAACAGGCGTGAAGTGGAAGCAATTCCGCGTTTCGTCTGATGAGTGTGGTGCCGGAGGCCTCATTTTAGTCCCTTTCCCTTTCCACTCTTTACTTAAGAGGAAAGGATGGGAAGGAAAGGTGGATTTGACGGTGAGACGCATAGGAAGGGGAAATGTCCTCTTTATATGAATCTCCTCTTCCGTCAGTTAAGGGTAGGCAACGCAACTGCAATTGCGGATGTTTATGGGCAGCGGTCGCTTTCCATTTCGGTGGATTCAGGTGGCCGCTTGCTTGTTTGCCACCTTATATTATAAAAAAAAAATACAAATATTCTTTGTGTTTTTCCGTAGGTTCGGTAGTTTTAAAAGCGACCAAGTGAAATTTTGATCAATGAACACTAAGATTCTAGCTACTTTTAATACATAACGATATTCGTTTGTTTGTTCTCGATTCGTTAGCCGGCTGTGCACAGGTTAAAAACTACAAAACGCTGGGACGGCGTAACATAAACATATGCTCTGCGTTTATGACGCCGAACCGACATCAAACGCAAGCCGATACTCGTGGACGATGCCCTTCGTAGAATGACTATGATTTCATTGTTTTAAAGGGTATTCTGTAATTTGTTCACGAACGTGTCTCTGTTCGATATTTCTTGCTTGACATGTAAAATTGCCAAATAACTTGTATAATATTAATCCATACTAACAGGTCCTAGCAATAAGACATGAGGTAGGTCATAGTTTGTAGCACAACTGTCGAAATTAAAATGAACCAAATAGTATTTTAAAGTAATTACTATATTTAAGTGTTACCCGTTAATTACATTCAAAATGCTCTTTCGGGACTGTCCCAAACACTTTATGCTCGCCCTACACACTAAATATACCCCGTCCATCCCCGGCCTGTTAGCCATCACTCCTTATTGGAGGCGAGTGGCGAGTGGCGACCAGTCGTCACTTATCACTTAGCCCCAGCACGGACAGACGGACAAATATTTGTTTGACTATACCATTCATTCCCAAACTTTACTCGTAAACCCTGAACCGATAACCTATACAAAAGGCGCGAGGAGTCCGGGCGCAGAGCCATAAGAGGTGCCAATTAATGGACTTACTTTTAGGGATGTGGCCTGGCCTAAGGCCTGTACCACCGAATTTGAAATTGTCTGAAACAATCCAACGTGTAAAATATGTTATGGAAATATCGGATTTTGTTACCTTATCTGACAGTGACGTCATTTAAGCTATCTGAGCATGTATCAGCGAGTGGTCAGGCCCTTCCATAGAAAACCAGTTATATGTCTTATTTAATAATATACAAATTTACTTCTCTCCATACATCGGGTATTGCTTAGACCCCAAAGTCCATTTGAACCACTTTGGGAACCACTGGACTTCATTGATTCTGACAATACCAGTCGACAAGCCACAAGTTTGTGCTTACGTAAATATTGACTGTAGATCGGTTTAAAGTATTTTTAACACAATGGTGTAGTTACAAAGACTACTTTAAAATTATAATTAAAAATTTAAGTACATGAAAATGAGAAAATTAACTATTGTAACTTGAACAATGTGATTCAAAAATAACAACGAGCTAAGTTAGCACGTAAAGAAAAATAGGTTCTGTGCCGACCTCTACTAAGTAATGTAGGACTTCTATTGTAAATATTAAAGCTAGCTGGGTTTTTAATATAAATGTTGTGTTTTCCGCGTGTGCTAATTTATGTTTTTTACTTATTTTCAGATGTTGGTCATCATGCGGCACATAAAATCAAAGCCCATAGACCTAGTCGAAGACATAGAGCTGCCAATGGTAAGGATTTTTTAAACTTAAAAATTCGGAGACTGTGCACACGTGAATCTAAACTATCGCACAATTGTTTAGTCTTGCTTTGATTCTTATAAGCTTATATGGAGGTGCGCACACTACTCGATTTTTAGTTGTGCAACTAAACAGTTGAATGGGCTGCGAAACAATCGACAATCGCACAACTGTAGTACGATATTTTAGTCAAACGTGTGCGCTGGCTTTGAAGATTTCAATCAGTATTAAATAGAAAAATACATAGTCTTCAATAATTTCCGTTTTGTGTACTTTTTTCTGTTTTCTTCCTGTAGATGGCACGCTGCGCTTTGATCCGGAGCCATACAACCGTAAACTGGGTCTGAACTCCTCGGGGAAGGTGCACTGCAAAGTCGCTGGGGGCGTAGCACCCACTGTGCAATGGTTTTTAGTAAGTTAACATACTGCTATCTCTGTCTATTCAAAGAAAATGAAAGGAACAGCGATATTTCTAATCGATTGACAAGGATGTGATCTATTTCTTGCTTTTTCCAGAACGAACAGGACCCGTTACCTGAAGGAATGACGTCACAAAACGGTACTCTTCTCGTCACGGATGCATCACGTCGTCACACCGGCCAGTACACCTGCAGGGCCACTGATGGCGACAATTCTATCACTGCCAAGATTACTCTGGATGTTGTTGGTGAGTGAGATGTTTAGATGTAGCTGGGTAACTCTATCTATCTCCCTCTCTCACGCATTTAAGGAATCAAATGCCTTTTATTTGCCTCTTTCACTCGTTCATGTTAACTCAATGGGTCGTTACCGAGTAGATCTAATGATTACGCTGTAAGGTTTGTAAAGATGAAGTTATTGTTGTTATTTTGAAATCAAGAAAGACCATTTAATTAAGTGCGGCAGTCAGTTTACAATACTTATATGAGTATATTCGAGGAACTTTGAGAGTAGGCCCAGTGGAAGAGAAAGTAAGGAGTAAAAGGTTTACACGGTATGGGCATGTTATGAGGAAAGATGAATCTCATGTAAAAGGAGAACGTTAGTTATGAGTGTGGTACACCGGTAGAGGTAGAACTAGAAAGAGATGGATTGCATGAAAGGTGACATGATCAAGAAAGGAGTAATTAAGATGACGTATGATAGAGTTATGTTGAGGACAAAAACTTGTTACGTACGGGAATAGGATAAGCAGGAAGATGAGTAAGTTTATAATCATACTTCATACTAATGTTATAAATGCGAAAGTTTAGATGGATGTTTGTTAGACTTTGTAGCCTAAACAGCTGAACTGATTTCGATGATATTTGACATAGACGTGGAGAATAGTCTGGAAGAATATGAGATACTCAATTTTGTTTTTTAATTCCACACGGACAAAGTCGCATGTGAAAGCTAGTACTCATAATAAATAACAATATTTCAGTGTCACCGCGTGTATTAGAGCCAGAAGCCGGTCAGCAGAGACACGTGTCTGTTGGGCAAACTGTCCGGCTTGACTGCCGCGCGTCCGGTGATCCGCCGCCTACCATACATTGGGATCGCAACTTGACTGTGCTGAATAGACAACGTAAGTTAATCACTAGACTAAGTGTCCTGACAAAACATAAGGCATGTGCCCGGATAACAGAGACACTTTTGGATAATAAAGGCACGTGTTCGGTTAGCATAGGCACTTGTTTAGTCAAAAGAGGCACGTGTCAATCTGACAAACTACAAGAAAATCACGAATTAAGATGATTTTTCGAATATACAATGTTTTCTTTTCTTTTACAGAAATTGACGTAGACGAAGAGGGTGGAGTTAACGCTTCATTTTCAAGGTATTTATTCCTTAACTAACTTCCGTGCTTTATCCGCATAAATTATAAAATCTTTAATTTCTTGTTTATATCTGTATAACTTTCTATTCCAAATGTCAATATTCAATTATCAAATTATTTTGCCATTGGTTGAGAATTTAACCATGGCAACATTATTCAATCTTTGACAGACTTCCCAAAAGAAGGAGGTACTCAATTCGTCTGTATGTTTTTTTTTAAATTCCACACGAACGGTGTCGTGGACGAAAGCTAGTAGTCGATTTTTTCAATCTATACTTCAGTAATATGAAGAGGAAAGATTTTTATTTTTGTATGTATTGAAATAACTCATTTACCATTAAAAAGCTACGTTATCAGTGTGAAATCTAGGCTTTGTTTTTTATTTTAATTTCATGCAAGCGAAGTCGCGAGCCATATATTTCTATGTTTTTCATATATTTCAGATTGCTCCTTCTAAAGAATGGTTCTCTACTTATCCGTGATACGGTAGAACAGGACTCGGACCGGTACGGGTGTACTGCGGGCAGCGCCGCCGGTCTAGACCGGAAAGAACTAGTCTTGATCGTACATCCAGGTAAAAATACATAACTAGACATAAATTATACTTAGATACGTTTTGTACCTGCCTACCTCCTCTACCGTCAAATCCAAATTTCGTTTCCATCCTTTTTTAAGAAATGGGTGGAAAGGGAAAGGGGCTAAAATTAGGCCTAACGTTAAGAGCCTGTCCCACCACTGGTTGATAGATGCTCAGATAGTTTAAAAATGACCTAACTGTCAGATAAGGTAACAAAATCATATATTTCCATCACATATTTTACACGTTGAATTGTTATAAGACACATACACACATACGCAATCATACAATTACTCACACCAACACACATGACAGACGGGTAAGAAGTGATTCATTGTCTTTAACTTCAGTTTACTATTACTAATTAACAGTAGGTTTATTTTTTCTTTAATTTTGTATGGTTTCATGCAATACATAAGTTTTTTTTTATTTTGTTTTTTGTTGTTAAAAGGTAACTGAAAGGGAAGGCATTGGCTCCTTAAACACAGGAATTCCTAGTTAAGGAGCCAAAGCAATATTGATCCTTCAATCAATGATTGACAATAAAGAATCTTTATTATATTATTATTATTATGTTGGTGGGACATGCCCAAAGTCTCCTGAATGAAGTACTGTTTTCTAGGGCTATACTAATACTATCTAGCAGTTAAATTATGTGAGTATTGCGAATTTAGTCCTTACCTTCCTATCTCTATCTTATAAGGAAAGAATGGAAAACGTGATAGGAGGATTCCCTCCTATCACGTTTATCCTATCCTATCCTATCATATCCTATCCTATCCTAACCTCCATGCATTCGCATGCAAGGGGAAATATCCTGTTTCTATGTACCCTTTTGTCGATTAGAGATAGGCAAAGCATTTGCAATTGCTGATGTCTATGGGCATATTGTTTCGCCATTTCGGCGAATTTAGGTGGCAGTTTGCTCATTTGTCATCTAATTATATCAAAAAATATAGATGGATGGATGTTTGCTTGCTTGTACTCTGAACTGAACGGATCTTAATTATTATTATATGTAGAGGATAGTCTAGAAGAACACAAAAGCGTTTTGTTTTTTTAATCGTAGGCGAAAGCTAATATTTTCTGAATGTAACTTCCAGAAGGTGAATTACCACCATCAGAGTCTACTGGAGTAGCAGGCAAGGCGGTGCTGGTCTCCATCTCCGTGGCTGGAGCTTATATGTTGCTAGTTCTAGCATTGATGGTCTACTGCAGAAGAAGACGACTTCAAAGAAGGCAAAGAGGTATCTTGATATTTCTTTAATAATTTACTTAAATATATTTTTATCTGTCATCAAAGATTAAGTGAGTAGTCAAGAAATTTAAATACAAAGATAATATACATAGAGCGGGTAACACTAGATGTGGTATGCAATATAATATAATAGTTGTTTGTACATTTACATTAAGTAAATACATCCAAACTTTAGAAATTTCAGCTTTCGGTTTCAAAAATAAATAAAAACATACAATCGGATTAATTTAAAATATCATACATTTTTGAAACCATAGTTTTATAAGTCTGTGAAACTCTGTAAATATACACTTTTTATACAACTGACTGTACGTAAACATCGTTTTATTAATATTTTTAATATGATGATTTTCACATACTAAACTACTGTTAAGCCTGTGGTACTTAAAGTGCTATGGGGTCGCTAAATTTTTGGGGGTTTGTGTACAAGGTAGATCTACCTGGTTAAGTAATTATGTATTCGACAAATATCTTACCATTGTCATAAAAAAAAATTATATGGAGGTGGAAACAATTGTGGGGTCTTAGGGGGTAATTTTTAATTACTGAGTAAGAGGGTCTGAAAAAGACTAACATACGTAGTTATCGTTTAATTTCTACTTCATAATGTTTTAAATTGATATAACTATGTGTATTTTAAAATTTCAGGAGAGAAAATGGAGTTAGAGATGCAAGAAGGAAGGGAAAAGTTAGTGGAAGAGGGAGAAGAAGATAAAAAGAACCAAAATGGGGCTGCTGTGCAGAATGGGAGACTTTTGCCAGGAGATAGAGATAGCGGTAAGTGAATCATCACGCTTATGTAAAGAGGTTAAGCAGAGATTAGAGATTTTTATTTGAGGAAGTATTCATCACATAATATACATGAATATTTCTTGTATCGCTTTTAGAATAGAATATTTGGTTGATTAAAATTATTTTTCCTTATAAAAGTACGTAATAGACTTGGTTTACGTAAAGTATAACTTCACTTGCTTTAGCCCGTGACTCAGCGCTAAAAAAACAGCAAAAAAGTAGCCTATGTGTTCTTCCATACTATCTTCTACATCTAAACCAAATTTCATCAATCTTCAAACTAAACTCTAACAAACATTCATCTAAATTTTAGCATTTGTAAAATCAGTAAAAGAACGCATGACTTTGACTGAACTATCGTACGACTGGTTAGTATCTTTGATTTCTATGAGCTTGCGCACACTACTCATTTATTTGTGCAACTAGACAATTGAAAGCCGCGAACCAATTAATCGCACGACAGTTGTGAGATAGTTTAGTCAAAAGTGCGTCGCTATAAAAAGTAAGATTATTAAGATGTGACTATATTTTTGTATAGGTGCGGATAATTCTGAAGTGTCCGGTATCTCTAAAGCATCTAAAAAGTCGGGACAATTTGAACATTTATCAATACCTCGTACAATGCTGACTGAAGAAATTACATTGGGTAAGTGAATATCAAATTTATTTAATTATAATTTTTCACACAAGTCAGTGATTCCCAAACTTTCTATCATAGACCCCTTATAAATTGTTAATTTAATTTTCATGTTTTTAATGTATATTTGTTTTTGTTTGTAGTTTATTTCCCGACATTGTATACCCGCGATTTTTCTTGGACCCCAGGGGGTTTATTTATTTGCGGTACTTAAAATGTGATGACAAACAAGGATCTTGTGACAACAAGATGGTATTATGAATTACATATTATTAACTAGCTTTCGCGCGCGACTCCGTCCGTGTGGAATTGAAAAAAAGAAAAGCGAATAGCCTATATGTTCTTCCAGACTATCATCTACATCTATGCCAAATTTCGTCGAAATTCGTTGAGCCGTTTAGGCTACAAACTCCAACAAACATCCATCCATCCATCCATCCATCTAAACTTTCACATTTATAATATTAGTAAGATTAGTCCCACTCAACCAACATACTTTCAGTTTTAACTGAAACATGGGATTGTTCAGTTAAAACTGTAAATGTAAACTTTCTGCCCATTGGTTTAGATAAGTCATACTATAAGGTGAAAGAACCATTAGTTGATAGTTTTAGGTGCCTCATAATGTGATACTCGACATAATGTAATTAATAAAAATAAAAGGTCAATATTAAATGAATGAAAGCAAAATTGCCCAAAGGACTTGTTAATTCATTTGTTGGCGACGTAATTGCTATGCCTACTCGCTGTTACACGTGCCGCCCTTGAATGCACCTCGCGGCACGTGTAACCTCGGATGACCGCGGCCGCCCTGTCGTCGCGTCCTTTGATGTTTCTTTGGCGGCGCGCGGCGAAGGACGCGGTCTCTTTGATTTAACAACAACTAATAAAATCATGGCACGAGGCAGCAGTTATTGAGGTCGTGGCGAACTATAAATAGACAATATTTAACTTATTTGAGGTCCAGTATCTTGGTAGCAATAAAGGCGTCAGTATCTCCGAGAAGAAGTTTTTATTTTATCATACAGTCCACTACATCATTGATCATAAAATGTTTGTTAAAACAGTTTCAACTTGCACTGTAAGAGAAACTAACAAAAAAAAATGTGCTTTTATGACAACAAACCATCAATTACTGGTACACTTACCTATAGTAATGTATCGAATATATAGTATACTAGCTTTCACCCGCGGCTCCGTTCGCGTTGATATAAAAAACTGAAGAAAGTAGCCTATGTTCCAGACTATCCTCTAAATCTATATCAGATTTTATCGAGATTAGTTCAGCAGTTTATGCTACAAACTCTAACAAACATCCATCTAAACTTTCGCATTTATAAATATGATTATTTTTCAGGTCGTGGAGAATTCGGCGATGTGCTTATAGCTAAGTTAGATATGGCTCAAGTTCGCAAACTGCGCACTAAAGAGGAAGGGGAATCTGAGCCGCAGATAAAACCAGTGTTAGTCAAAGTGCTTACCACAAAAGATGAGGTTTGTATTAATTTATTATCATATTCTTCTTCAAACAAACACACAAACATATTTATTACCTATTTACTAACTTTTGCCCTCTATTCCGTTCGCATGGAATTCAAAAACTTAAGTAAGCCTAGTGTTCTATGCCAAATTTTATTCAGATCTGTTCAACAGTTTAGTCTACAAACTAATAAACATTCATACATCTAAGCATTCGATTTTATATTAATAAGATACACGATTAACAACAAAAATGTTTTTCAGGCGTATGTTAGTTTGTTTTTATATTTTACTAGCTTTGATAACTGCGTAACTATGATAATGACGGTTGAAAGAAAAAGAAAGAAAAAGTCGATATAAATAAATAAATAGAATTTTTATAGCCACAAAAAATTACATAACACATTTTATACACAAAACTTTAGAGCTAGTATATAAAAAAAGAAATGTGGCAAAAAGTGCCAAGCTTAGCTAATGCAAGTACTGTGCTGGTTTTCAGCTGGCCCCTTTACACATGAGTATTAACACATGGGTATGGTTTTTAAACAGTGGTAGTGCCCGCTTTAACATCTTAGCACTGTAGGGCCGGCTCGCCCCCAACAATACCACAACCACACAGAAGA